CGCAGGGACGCGCCAGCGCACCAACCCCTGGACCCCCGGGTTCGACGACACGAGGTAACCGCGAGCGCGGGCCGGGGGATTGAGCACCATCCTGGGTGCGCGGGGTCAACCTTTAGAAGACCGGGACGCGCAGACTTCTAGGGTTGTTTTGTCACGTTGCGGGAGGGCGCTGGGGACCAAGGATCGGAGAATAGAGCACTAAACCGGGAGGCGGGCAGAGGGCGAGTCTAGGACCGTCTGCGCGCATTCCTGCGCGGGCAGCGGAAGGGAAGGGACCCCAGGACCCCCTCGGCGACGCCAGAGCGGGAGCGGGAAGCTGCAGGAGGGGGGGCGGACGGGGACAGGGCACCCTGCCCCCTCCCCAGCTGCATTCCAGACTGGAGCAGCGGATGAGGTCATCCCGTCCGGTTCCCTTCTGGCCACGGCAGCCGCTGCCCGCGCCGGACCGGACCGAGGGACTCTCCAAAGTCTCCCCTCCAAGGTCCCCAGAAGGGAAAGTTTTCTAGTTGAAGTCTTTCCTGGACTTCCCATTCCAGCTGATTCTGTCCTTGTCCCAACTATTCCAGACTCGCCAAGTTTGAAGCCCGTTTTCTAGACTGGGAAACTGAGGCTGAGAGAACACAGCGGCAGAGTGGAGGGGGCTTAGCTTTAACTTGGGGTACTGGAGCAACAATGCATCTTAGTAAGTCGGTGGTGGCACACAAGTTAATCCCAACACTTGGGCAACTGAAGCATGAGGATCACAATTTCGAGGTCAGCCTGGTCTACATAGCGAGACCTTGTAAACAAACAAAACCTCGTTTTCTTCCTCCCGCTTTCCGTGTTGCTCCCTAATGGCCCGAGGCGCTTCTTCCTAGCCTTCCGGCAGGGAAGTTCAACAGCTTACTACCCTATTCCTGGCCTCAGTTTCTCTATCTTCCACCATCTCAAAGTGCTGGACTTAGAAAGGATGCCCCTGGAGGACTTAACTTCTAACCCCAAATGTCACAGGTTGGGGAGAATCTGAAGCAACAGAATCCCATAGTCCTGTGTTGCTGTCAAAGAACTGTGCTCCCCACAACAGGCTGCCGGGATTGGGAGGGGGCTGGGAGCTCTGCACACCTGCTTAAGGAAGTATCCGGGTACTCCAAGGAGCGCTGTCCCCACCTGGCCCTTCCCCACCATCGGAGCAGCTTTTCTTTCCCAACTTCCTTGCACCCACAGCCACCCCTGTTGGCCTCTGAGTGAATGCACCCTGCCAAAGCCCCCAAAACTTGTCCCTGTGGTCACTACTACCGAAGGAGCTCTGAGCACGTGTCCATACCGCTGATCAGTTGATTTAAGAGCTCTCCCCAGAGACTGGCCTCTCACCAGTGACAGCTCAAGCCTGGGTGGTGGATGCTGAACTGCAGAACCAGGATCCTGTTTCTCCTTCTGGTGACTTCCCCACGAAGCACTTCTGCCAGTGTTGGTAGGATGTAAGCAAGCTCCAGGACACTCCGTTTTGTCTGTGACCTACAGCTTGTTTGTCCCGTGTAAAATGGGTAAATAGAGCATTTACAGGGGCTGTTTCCAGGGCCTTTGAGAAAAAAAGGGTCCTCGTATCTCGACCCCCGGTGCAGGTGGCGTGACCCTAGAGGCCAGCAGTGCTGGCACCCAGTGTTAAGCGATTGCCTCCAGGGGTCACTAGAATGAAAGATGTCTCTTTCTTGTGAAGTCCTGGATTTGAACGCATGCCTACCCTGCTCCAGAGTGGGAGAATTGAGTTTCTTCCACATCTTCCGCTCTTTCCTGCCCTCTCTGGCTGGAAGTCTTTTCCTCTTTCTCCGTGGGAAGACAGAGACAGTAGCTGAAGTTGGTCCAGGACGCTCTGCTGCAGTAGATGGGTGTAGACGTAGAGGATGCTAGCTACAGGTGCCCAGAGGCCTTTGGGAGGTGGTGGCTTCATCACATGGTTGGTCAGGGGTTGGATAGGGCAAGAGCCTGGAGGAAGCTCAGAAGTTTGAGAATTTGGTACTGTCACAGTGTAGACACAGTTGACCCCTCCCTGTGCCATTTTGCAAAGTGAGCCCTACCCGGTTCCCCAGCTCCTTCCTTTAGACTCTGAAGTGTAGAGACTAGTTTCCGTGGAGCTGGGAAACCTGGCCGGTGTTTACCTGCCACGGGACCTTGGATGAGTCTGTTCCCTGGGCCTGTCAACCCTCTTTGTAGCCTGAGCCAGCCTTCCAAGCCTCCAGGGGGTATTGGAGAATCATCTGATGACGTCATGCCATTGGTCAGCCAACAACAAGCAGAATGCTTTATAACTTCAGCAAGCATTCCAGGAGGGCTTCTCTGCGCTGGGGGTGCCAGGGAAAGGGATGATTCAGAAGTCCCCCCCCCAGGAGGGGAGGAGCTAGGACTGGAGGAGGGGCCACTGGTGGGGCGGAAGAGAATGCAGTCCCAAAACAAAGCAAGCTTTGTCCAGTTCTGCTCTTTGTTTTATCTTGTTAGTGAACCTATTTTGAATTTCAAATAACATTATAGAAGGGCTGCATTGAGAATCTTAAGCTTGGAGGTGGCAGTTAGGGTTGAGAAAATTAAAAAAAAAAAGTTGAAACTCAGGTTTAGATCTTTATCAGTTGAGCAGGTGTGGGGTGGTGACTTGCCCAAGGTCACAGGGTGAGGACTCTGAGTCCCCAGTCCACTCTACCCTCTCAGAAGGTGGCAAGGGGTGGTCCTCTGACCGGAAGGTTATCTCAGCTAATGATTAGGCTGGCTATGGATTTGGCCACGTGCTAAACACTGGGAGGGAGAGAGGCAGGAAAATCCAGGCATCGCCCCACCCTCAAAGTGCTCAGGGAAACAAGACTGGGCCCTGAAAGCCAGCAAAGGCTTATGTGAGTCAGAGGCCCCGAGTTCAAGTTTGGACTAGCTTTTTGGCAAGCTTGGCCTCGAGCAAACTTGGCCCTCTCTGGGTCACAGAAAACCAGAATCTGGGCTTCAGGACCCTAGGTGCTCTCCAGCCACCCAGGGGAAGAGAAAAGGAGACACAGAGGTGCCCTCTGAGAAGGGTAGCACAGCAGAGGAAGGCGGTGAGGGATCAGGCGGGATGTTCGTGTGTAGGGACCAGCTTTTGGCACCCATGGCAATTTTTCCCTAAAATTTGTTCCCCAACAACAAGGCTCCTTCATCAACCTGACCTGATGAAGCCCTTTCTGCAGGCCTTCCTAGATCATTGAAGGCTCAAGCGCACAGGAGCTGGCTGGAAAAAGCCACTTTTGACCACAGGATCCCTTTTTCCAGGAAACACCTTGGAGGCCGAGGGCCCTGAGGAGCGTCAGTGCTGGCTTTGTGGCAGGTTGTGTACACAGCAGTTCACAAGACCTTGGCAGGGCGCCTCCTTTCTCTTGGCCTCTCCAGGTAGAATAGATTTGAACCCCGAGAGAACTGAAACATGCCGGCAAGTGGCATGTGTAGGGGGCGGGCTCAAGGTCGCTGGGATGGGGAACCCAACTCTCTGTTTCTTCCTGAGAAGTCAGGGGCAAGTCACTACACTTTCAAATCCGTTGCTCATTCCTGCTCTGGTGCCTCCGGGAAGTCTAGTGTCTTGAGTCGCCTGACGTGGGCAGGAGAGCCATTGACACCTCACCCGCAGGTCTTATGTCATGATCGGTCATTTTTCTGCTTCACTGGTGCCCATTGTGAACTCATAGCAGAATGGCGTCTCTGTCCTCGCCCAGGCAATGGCGCTCAGAGGCATCCACACTTCTGACTGCCATTGCCGTCCACGCTGCTGGTTCTCAGCCGTGGCGTGCACGTGTGTGGGGGTGCATAGGTCCACGTGCTCACATACAGAAGTCCTGCTCTGTCTCTCTAACTTGGTCCCTGGAAACAGAGCCACTCACTGAACCTGAAACTTGTGGGGTTTGTTTTGTTTTGGTCCCACCCCACAACACTGGGATTGCGCTTGACTTTGTCATGGGTGTTGGGGAGTTCAAGGTCCTTGAGCTTGTGCAGTAAGCACGCTCTACTCTGTCACCACCGCCCCTCAGATCCTTCCTGAACCCGCTACACACAGACACTGCGGGTCCTCCTTTGTGCCTGGCTGGGTGGCCACATTTGTTCTCTTGGGTGGCTACTGTTTGGACTCGGATTTCCTCTGCTGCTGCCATACTACAATGCCATCTCTCTGCCCTTCCAGGTCTCCACCCCAGGACAGGGACCACCCATCTGGTGTCTTCTCTGATCCTCAGCCTCACCGGGGCAAGGGACAAGGCCTCTGGGAGAGAGAAGGAAGAGACGCCCTCAGCCTCAGCACTGGGGACAGCGCCTTAACAGAGTCAAGGGTTGTCTTCAGCTACACCACCCTCATCCACAGAAAGAGACTGAGAACTGCCGCTGAGCCCAGCCTGCCATCTCCCCTGGCCCTAGCTGGGCATGGACCAATAGTTGTGAGCAGCCAAAGCTGATGCCTGGACCCCAGGGGGGCATAGGAGCCCCCACCATGAGCTTGGGCAAGATGTCTCCTGTAGGATGGGTGTCCAGTTCCCATGGAAAGAGGCGACTGACAGCAGACATGATCAGCCCCCCGCTTGGGGACTTCCGCCACACCATGCACGTGGGCCGTGGTGGGGATGTCTTCGGTGACACTTCCTTCCTCAGCAACCATGGGGGCCGCTCTGGGAACACCCACCGCTCACCCCGAAGTTTTCTGGCCAGGAAGCTCCAGCAGGTGCGCCGGGTGGGAGTGCCTCCTCGAAGGATGGCTTCCCCACCTTCAGCATCACCTGCCCCACCTGCCGTCTCCCCCATCATCAAGAATGCCATTTCCCTGCCCCAGCTCAACCAGGCCACCTATGACAGCCTAGTGGTGGGCAAGCTCAGCTTTGACAGCAGTCCTGCGGGCTCCACGGATGGCCGCTCTGGTTACGGTGAGGACCTGGGTTCACAGTCTCCTTTCCATTGCTGGGATTCAAACCCAGAGAAATTGTGGGGTTCTGCCAGGCCTCCATAGCAACCTTTCCCCATAGCTGTTCAAGTCTATGAACTGTTGGAGTCTGGCTGCCAGCCTAGGCTGAGGATGAGGGGCGGTGGTGGCACTAGGGAGGTGGGGTGCCAGCCTACTTAGGCCTCATAACCCCGAGGCTGAGATAGATATAAAGTCTGTATTATAGCAACCCGCTAACTTGCTCTGTGACTCTGGCGAACCTTTCTCATTTCTGGGCTTTGTGACCAGTCCACCCCTTCCTGTCTCCTTCCATGAAGCAGCCCCCACCTCAGTGTCCGAGGGTATCACGGTGAGGCTCTCTGAGCCCGCTCTGGTTTCCAGTCCTAGTAAGCACATGGACCTCTGCACGCCAGTCCTCACCTCTTCGGGTCCCTTAGTCTCAGTACTAAGATTCAGCAAAGCGATGAGGCCAGTCTACTCTACACAGTGAGTTCCAGGACAGCCTAGGCTATATAGAGAGACCCTGACTCAAAAAACCAGACAGGAAAAGATTGAGTAAAGTCAGCTGTGACCTAGGCAGCTCTGTAGCAGGTGCTGAGGACAGCTGTTATTTGAACAAAGGCTCCTGTAACTTGGCAAATTGATTCAGGTGCGAATGCCACCTTGGCAGGACAACTCTCCAGGGGACCGTGGGTTACTGCTGCCCCCTCATGGTCATGCTTTGCATTACAGTCTTGGTGCCACTATGTCAGACCTAGTGGTCTTGCAGGGTTGGACTGGTACCCTTTGGAAGTCATGTCTCTGTCCTGAGAACCTATGATTTCTCTGTTCAGGCCTTGGCTTCTGGTTCCTTCGTATGCCCACAGATAAACTGACATGCAGCTATCGATCAGTTTCATAGAGGGAACCAGGAACCATGGCCAAGTTCACATCAGGACTGAGTGTCAAGATTCAAGCTGCAGGCATAGTTTCAACCCCGACAGACTGGCATTGGACAAGGTCTGCCCATCTCAAGCTGAACTTCCACTTGCTCTTCTGTAAAGTGGCATCAGGATTAGTTTCAGATCGTGTGGAAGGCTGTGGGGTCCGTGTAGAGACCAGCAAGGGGATACAGCTTTTCAGGGGCCCCATGTTATATCAGGATTGTCCTGGATCTTTGTCTCCAAAAATGGGCTAGGGACCCCAGCCCTGACCTCTGCCCCATTTCTCTGCTAGGCTTGGATTCTGGGTTCTGCACCATCTCGCGCCTGCCACGTGCGGAAAAGCACAGCAACCGAGACCGTGACCGCGACCGCGACCATGCTCAAGACCGAGAGCAAAATTCTTTCCCCTCTGAGCCCGAGCTTCGACGCTCTGACTCTCTCTTGTCTTTCCGTTTTGACCTTGACCTAGGCCCCTCACTCCTCAGCGAGATGCTAGGTGTCATGAGCCTTTCAGAAACCCCAGCAGCTGAGACCACAGCCCCTTCTGCCAAGCCCCCTGCCTCAGCAGCAACCCCCGCTGCCCCTATTGCAAAACCCCCAGCCCGTGCCATAACCACCCCAGACCCTGTAGCAAGCCTGGCAGCTCCAGCAGCAAGCCCCCCAGCCCGTGGACATTTCCCCAATGGGGTCACTGCTGTGCTGGGCGCTGTGGCTGAGGTAAAGCCCACTCCTGTGGGAGAGAATCCCCAGGTGCTTCCCAACATGGCCTTTGGCAGGCACGGAACCAGCTGGGGTGCCAGCCGGGCCAGCCGCCACTACACCGAGATGGATGCTCGGCGGGAGCTGGCAGGGGTGCTACCTCAAGTCCACGGCTCCTGGGAGAGTCTGAATGAAGAATGGAATACACCTCCGGCCAGTCACAGAGCCCCAGTGCCCAGCACGGTGCAGGTCAATTCCTTTGAATTTGCGGATGCTGAGGAAGATGACGAAGTCAAGGTGTGAGGAACTAGGCATGGGCTCCAGGTCCTGCCATCCTGAAGACTCACAGAAAGCAGAGGGGCCGAGCTCACCCACCATCACCTAACAACTACCCTGCCCACCAGACATGGACAGTTGCCCAACTGGAGTTAGCCCCACGTCCTTCCTGGTCTGTGGAAGGCAGACATTGGTAAGGGGGTCCTTACTGCTCTGACCCACCTCCCTCTGCTGCCTCTAGGCCCACAAGCCCTTCAGTCATACCCTGTGCCAACCCCATGGCCTCACAGTGTGGGCTTTGTGCCCCAGGATGCTTCCCGGGTGGGGTGGGGCTGGGATAGGGACCATACAGGGCCATTGTCTCTGTGGGACTGCCTGCTCCTGCTCATTTGGAGCTGCCCCAGAAGGCCACCACTGTGTCCTCAATAGCCCTATTCCAGGCTCCTCTCCAGTTCCCAGAGAAAGGTCAGGTGTAGAGTCTTCTGTGAACCCCAGACCTGCCTCCTGTGCCTGGCCGTAAAAGCTAACTGCCTAAGAAACCAGGGAGGAAGCCCCTGCTGAGGTGCTCTTTCCCCTCCTGGGAGTTTGGAAAGTTGAGGACCCCCTTTCAGGCCCCCCAGCTGGGGGGGGGGGGCCAGACAAGGTAATGAGTAACCAGCCTGGAATGCACAGACGATAAGAGGCCCAGGTGGGACCCTTATCTGCAGTTCCTGGAACACCCTGGCCCCAGGTGCCTGGAACCAGTATCTGCCCCATAATCCCACGGGACAGCTTGGCAGGTGCTCAGGTCACCAGGAGGAAGGCAAGTTTATGTGCACAGGGTGGCTTGGGAGCACCTCCCATCCTCTTCCCTTGGCAGCGCTACACCCTGTGCCTCAGTTTCCAACCCTGTATCGAAGCTGGGGGAGCATTAACACGCATGGGAAGTGCTAACATTTCTCACTGTGGAAATAATAAATGTGGATTCTTTTATTTGCTCTCGACCTAGGGGCTGGGGTTAGTCAGAAGGAACGTGGGAAATTACAGGACCTAAAGACAGCGGTCCTGATGGGGCTTGCAGAGAGGGCTGAAACGGGTTTAGAAATTGAGGTCTTGTCCTGAGGAGGTGCTGCGTGCTCACTTAAGCTTGAAGGAGGAGATTTGGAGCCCGACCATACTTAGGTAGTTCAGGTGGTTTTGACTCAGCCTGTTGGGGAAGGTCACTGTGTTTCCATCAGGTAGCGTCACCTCGAACTCATTATTATGGAAGGCCACAGTGATCTGCAGGGAGAGGAAACAGGTCAGGAGAGCCTGGGAAGGGACCTGGTGGGGCCTGGCGGGGCCTGGCAGTGCCCCCGTGTCCAGGCAGGAGGGCCATCATTTGGGCTCCCATTTGACCTCACCTTGACCTCCTCTCCTGGTCTGAAGCACAAGTTACTTTCTCGTTGCTCTTGTCCCCATCTGCCGCCATCACGAGAGTTGAAGACAATGGTGGATTCGTTGAAGCGAGGGTTAAAATGCAGGTTTAGCTTGTCTTGGTCCTGGCCCAGGTTAATGGCGAACCTACAAGGAGGAGTGGCAGGAGAACAGCTTAGGACGGGGGACTTTGGTTGACCACAAGCTGGAGGAGCGAGTCAAGATGTTGCGACTGAGATCTGTAACTTGCAGTCGGGAAGGCTGTGCACAGCAGTGACGCATTCTGTTTGGAAGAGGCACTGGAGCTGTTGGCGGGGTGATTAAGAGTGGCAGGTTGTCTGTCCTGGAGGAGACAGTTGAAGGGCTGTCATCAGAGGGAGGCAGGCAGGGGAGTATGGCTTGGCAGGATCACTAGAGGAGCCTGGGTTAGAGAGTCAGAGTCCCTGGAAGTAGGATCTTTGGGGTGTGGGGTTCCGTCATGGGTGGGGGTTCTCAGACCAGGCATATCCACATGTTTCTGCAAGCGAGGAGCCTGGGTAGGAAAGAAGGCCCTTTTCTCTTAGCTCCTAGTCTGTGTGTCTGCCTCCTTCCTAACACAGGAGCTAGAGGTTTTAATCTCACGAAATGCTGGCCGTGCTGAGCGGCCAGGAAGTTAACAGCAGTGCTCAGGTGGAGGAAAAGGGGGCCTATGCTGCCCCCTGGTGACAGCCTCTGGTTAGAGTCACAGGACCTGGGTTAAGAGGGTGGTGAGCAGGAAGGATGTGTACACTTCAGCACAGGCTTCAGACCTGCCGGGTCAGGCAGAGTAGGCGGAGTGCCGCCCTTCTCCACCTGCCCCTTTGTTGACAGTTGAGACCAGGAACAGAGAGCAGCGTGTGTCCTGACATTCTGAGGGTTCCTAACCCAAAGGACACAAGGGTGTCTCCTAACAGGAGCCAGCAAGGATGTAGTAAGGAGCATATATTAAAAAAAAAAAAAGAGTCGCTGCTCCCTTAGCCTTTGAGGTCCCAGTCCTCAGCCCTGCCCACGCCTTGCTCACCTGTTAACATCCTTGTGGATCTTGGCTTTAATTTTCAGGGTCATGCCTGATTTCATGTCCAAGTTTGTGACCTCAAATTTCTCCTGGAGCAACAGAACAGAAGGCTTCAGGGAATCATGAAAGGGACCCTTTGCCCTGCTGCCCTCTTGTGCCATTCTGGATGACTCTGTTACCTCTCTGCCCTCATGGAGACCACAGCATTGTGACTCGGGTTTTCCAGAGCCCCCTTAGCCTCTGCTTCGCTTTTCTCCACCCCACAACCCAAGAAGAGAATGTCTAGGTCACGGAACGGACAGCCTGACCTCTGCAGGTCTTACAATTTCCCAGTGTTCAAGTAACAAGCTGCCCTTAGCACACCCAAAGCACGGGTGTAATGCAGAAATGACCACGTCTGGCTGAGCATGGTGGCATATACCTTTAATCCTAGCACTTGGGAGGCAGAGGCAGGTAGCTTTCTGTGAGTTTAAGGTCAGCCTGATCTACACAACAGGTTTCCAGTCAGCCAGAGCTACCTGGTGAAACCCTGTCTCAAAAAACAAACAAAAAACCAAAACAATAAGACATGGTGATCCATGCTTGCAATCCAAGGCTGGGGAGACAGAGTCAGAAAGATCCCTGGGACTCCGTGGCCAGGAAGTCCAGCCTAATTGATTACTTTTAAGCTCCAGGCTACTGAGCGGCCTTGTCTCAAAGGAAGCATTTTTGGGGGTGACAGCTAAGGTTGCACACACACATGTGAGTGCAGTCATACACATACACTAAAGGGGGTGTGAAAGAATGGTCAGAATACATTATGTATGAGTATAAAGTTGTCAAACGACAAACTGTTGTGCTGGAACAGAGCGAAGTGGTAGAGGACTTACCTAGCATGCAGAAGTCCCAGCATTCCAAACCCACCCCTTAAAAAAAAAGTCAGAAGCAGTTGCTGAGTAACCACTGTGCGACAGATGTTGAGGGAGGCCCAGAGACCAATAGCACCCACTTTCAAGCCGGTTGCAGGAAGTTCAGCATCCAGTTTGTGAGGCCCAAGCATAGAGCCTGACCCAGATGGTAGAAATGAGGGTGGCCACCCCTGCACTATCTAGTGTTCCTCTGCCCTCGCTTCCAACCAGGGCATCAGTAGTAGCACCCCAGTTTCTTGGCAGCTGACTCCTCTATCTTTTCTTAATGAATTATTTTTTATGGTTTATTTATTTTTGTTTTCATGTGCTTTGGTGTTCTGCCTGCATGTATGACTAGGTGAGGGTGTCAGATCCCCTGGAACTGGAGTCACAGATGGCTGTGAGCTGCCATGTGGGTGCTGGGAGTTGAACCTGGGTCCTCTGGAAGAGCAGTCAGTGCTCTTAAGCTCTGAGCCACCTCTCCAGCCCCTGACTGGGGAAAGGGAAAGTGTCCAGGCTGAGTTTCCAAAGCCCACTGCTTTGAAATGTCCATCCTTCACGCTTGTGACCAGAGGGTGACAGCTGAGCCGAGCAGCTCTTATGGACAGCATTTCTGCACTGTGGGCTTCATTTATTGACATGACTCTATCTGATTTCTTCTTGCCTTGTATTATTATTTTTTAAATTTTACTTACTTATATTTTATGTATGAGTGCTCTGCAGGCCAGAAGGGGATGCCAGATCTCATTACAGATGGTTGTGAGCCAACATGTGGTTGCTGGGAACTGAACTTAGGACCTCTTAATCGCCAAGCCATCTCTCCAGCCTGTTAGTAGTAGTAGTATTGTATGTATGGCCTGTATGGATGTCTGTGCATCATATGTATGCCTGGTGCTTGCAGAGGCCAGAAGAGGACATTGGATGTCCCTGGAATTGGAGCTACAAACGGCTGTGAGCTGCCATGAGGTTGCTGAGAATCGAACCCAGATCCTCTGGAAGGACAGTCGGCGCTCTAAACCACTGAGTCGCATCTCCAGTCCTTTGCCTTGTATTTTGTTGACAAGCGTCACCAAAGATTCCTGAATCAAGTCCCCTGTCTGGGTGGGGCTTGGGGCTGAGGTCAAGAGCATAGCTGTGGGAAGGTTGTCCGTCCTTTGCCGCTACAAAGAAGGATGGGGGATGGCTGATTCGAACGCAAGGGAGGCTTGACACCCTGCCCAAACACCCCCACTTGCTGTGTAGCCCAGGCTGCCTTTGAACTGGTGATCCTCCTACACTGACCTCCCCAGCTCCACCTCTGCTCAAGTGACTTGGGGCCAGCCTCACCGCTCTGGGCCTGGGTTCCCTATTGGTGCTGTGAGGGGGTTATCGGGAAGGAGAGAGACGAAAGTAAAAGAGTGGTAAGGCGACTAAAATCGAGAAAGCCAAGGGTGGGTCTGGGCCTCCAAGGGTTTCCCTGAGAGGCAGGGGCGAGGCTATCACTGTCCTTTCCAGCACTGACACCCAGTCACACGGACATCCTGCATACTACCTACACCTATTTGGATGATGTCATTGACCAAACACACATGTGCTTCCTATTCACCCCACCTGGCACCTGCTACTGTGACCTTGAAAATAGTGTCTTGGTACAACCTAATACTGTACCAGATTGGTTTAGGATAGGCCCTCAATGCACTGGAGCTAATGTCCTAGATGAGAAAGGAAGGGAAATGGGACCAGAGGGACGACTCAGTGGTTAAAAGTTGCTCTTGTAGACAGGCTTGTTTCCCAGCACCCACGTGGTGGCTCATAGCCATCCATAATTCTAGTTCCAGGGGATCCAATGCCTTCATCTAGCCTCTGTGGATACCAAGAATGCACATGGTATAGATACACACATGCGTGCACGCACACACACATGCACACACACATATACTGGCAAAAATACAGAATAAATATTTCTTTAAATATTCTGTATTGCTGGTGGGAATGCAAGCTGGTACAACCCCTTTGGATATCAGTGTGGCGATTTCTCAGAAAAGTAGGAAACAACCTTCTTCAAGACCCAGCAATACCACTTTTGGGTATATATTCAAAGGATGCTCAATCGTGCCACAAGGACATGTGCTCACTATGTTCATAGCAGCATTGTTTGTCATAGCCAGAACCTAGAAACAACATAAATGCCCCTCGATCAAAGAATGGATAAGGAAAGTGTGGTACATTTACACAATGGAGTACTACACAGCAGAAAAAATAACAACAGCTTGAATTTTGCAGGAAAATGGATGGAGCTAGAAAACATTATTCTGAGTGAAATAACACAGACACAGAAAGACAATTATCACATGTACTCACTCATAGGTGGTTTTTAAACATAAAGCAAAGAAAGCCAGCCTACAGACCACAATCCCAGAGAACTTAGACAACAATGCAGAAACTAAGAGAGACTTACATAGATATAATCTACATGGGAAGTAGAAAGTATAAAAAGACAAGATCTCCTGAGTAAATTGGGAGCATGGGGACCTTGGGGGAGGATTGAAGGGGGGGAGGAAGAGGCAGGAAGGGAAGCAGAGAAAAATGTAGAGCTCAATAAATATCAATAAAAATATATTTTAAAAAATCAATAGGAAAAAAACAAAAAAAATTGGAAGGGAAGGGAACTGGGTACA